AGGCTCTACTGCCGAGGGCTAGCTTAGTTAGACCTCAGGCTCTACTGCCCAGGGCTAGCTTAGTTAGACCTCAGGCTCTACTGCAGACCCCCAGGCAGAGTCTGGCTGATTGAAAGCAGAGCAGGTGAGCAGCACCAAAGGTCAGAGACCTGGACAGATCTCTGCTTCAGCACCTCTTCCCGTTACCTGTTCAACCCGGAGAACCTAGACAAAGCAGAGCAACCAGGGAAAGGAGGCTATAGACCATGATGCATCTGTGAGTACCTACCGTGGTGGAGGTCTTCATGCAGCGAGCCGTGGCTGGGGCTGGAAGCAGCTCCCTCACATGGGCCGTCTCCATTTGGAGTCAGAGAGATGTGGCAGTTCCAGCCTGTCTCCAGACCCATCTTCTCTGCAAACACCTACAAGAGCCGCATCGTCAGCAGGTTCTGATCTGAAACAGAACCCAGGAGGGCTAGTTCCCCCTGAGGCTCCCCCTGTGGTTCTCCCTGTGGTTCCCCCTGTGGTTCTCCCTGTGGTTCCCCCTGAGGTTCTCCCTGTGGTTCCTCCTGTGGTTCTCCCTATGGTTCTCCCTGTGGTTCTCTCTATGGTTCTCCCTGTGGTTCTTCTTATGGTTCACCCTGAGATTCTCCCTATGGTTCCCCTTGAGGTTCTTTCTGTGGTTCTCCCTGAGGTTCCCCCTGAGGTTCTCCCTGAAGTTCCCCGAGGTTCTACCTGAAGTTCCCCCTGAGGTTCTCCCTGAAGTTCCCCGAGGTTCTACCTGAAGTTCCCCCTGAGGTTCTACCTGAAGTTCTCCCTGTGGTTCTACCTGAGGTTCTCCCTGTGGTTCTACTTGAGGTTCTCCCTGTGGTGCCCCCTGGGGTTATTCCTGAGGTTCCCCCTGTGGATCTCCCTATGGTTCCCCCAGTGGTTCTGCCTGTGGTTCTCCCTAAGGTTCCCCCTGAGATTCTCCCCTGTGGTTCCCCCCTGTGGTTCCCCCAGTGGTTCTCCCTGAGGATCTCCCATGTGGTTCTCCCCTGAGGTCCCCCCAGTGGTTCTGTCCCTGTCATTGTTGGTTCTGGTTGAATCTGTTTCGTCTCTTGTTGAACAGAAACTCTGCTGTTCTGGTTGGGTCATATCTGATGGGTCTTGTGACCCAGAGCTAAGCTAACTAAGCCAATGGTTGCTCTGAAATTTAGCTGAACAAAAACGTTTTTGGTTTTCTGATGGAGGATTGATTCTAGCTGAGCAGGGCCCAGCCCAAAGTTGAGAAGCAGAACCAAGTTAATTTAGCCACAGGTTAGCGCTGCCTGTGGCCAGTAAGGGAGCTAAACCTGGAACGTCTAGCCCTGGTGTCCCCTAGTGGGCGGTGGAGTTTCTGTTTTTTTTTTTTATTTCAGCTGCCATTTAAAAAGTTCTAAAAACACAGATGGGTCGGGTCAGGACCGGATCTTGAAGATCCTTTGCTTGTTGGATCCAATGGCTTCTATGGCGCCGTCTGCTGACATTCCAGGTCAGCAGTCAGACCCCGCGGTCCATGCCAACCTCAGAACCGCTCACCTTGCTGCGGAGCTCATCCTCCATGGAGAAATAAACGAAGCGAATGCAGGCGGTGACCAAGGCATCGATGAGGCGGACCGTGTCCAGCTTGGCCTGGAACTGAGACGACACCATCCCCATGAAGATCTGACCGCTCAGCGCCTGAACGCAGTCCTCCCGCTCCACGCCCTCTCCGATCCCCTCTGCGTGACCCAGAAACAGACCCAGACAGAATTCGTTAGCAGCGTTTAACAGTCGTTGGGCTGCTCCTGGTGCGCCGCCCTCACCATCTGAGCTCCAGCTGTTCCTCAACAGGCTGTGTTTGATGGGCGTGGTGGAGGGCAGCTCCACCCCAGAGAACAGGCAGGGGCCCGAGGCCAGCTGCACACATTTCCCATCCAGCTGGCTGGACAGCGACACCTGCATGGGTTTGTAGGCGAAGGCGGAGCAGTAACCGGACAGCACGGCCCGCTGGTAGAAGTCCAGAACCTTTTTCCTGGAACACAGAGCAAAAAATGGGTCGGAGGTTCAGATCAACCTGACCATGGAGCCCAAAGGTCCACTATCAGACCTGTCCGAGCCCGAGAGAGGGTAGATATCCGTCCCATCCCAGAAGTCTGTGCAGGCCTCCAGGATGAGGTCGGCCGAACCGTGGGACAACATCTGGACACTATCTGCAGAAAGACAGGACGGGTTGGCATGGAAACCGCTTCTTTCTATCAGCAGGGCGCTGAAGGGACTTACTGGAGGATGAGTCTCTCACACACAGAGACATGAGGTGGGAGATGGGGGGCTGGCGTTTGGTGAAGTAGGGGAGGCGGCGGGAGGCCAGCTCCTTGGTGGTCTCTCTGGATGGCAGCTGGTAGAGGGTCAGGTGGTTCTCCTGCTGGAACAGCTCCCTGGCTCCAGGAGTGAACCCTGGAGGAGAAGCAGAAAAGCTGTGAGGAGGAGGTTTATCAGACACTAAAAACAGCCATAAAATGGGTCAGAACCAGAGTCCTAAAACTAGGAAAGGAGCGGCTCCCAGTTCCTTCCTGATCTGAGGGACGACTGGACCTGCTGCCTTGCTCTGATCTCCTGCCTCCGGTGTCTAGTTTTGGAGCTATCAACCTGAGCGCCAACAAACCCATCTTTTCTGTGTGCTTAGCTCCATCTCTGACACCAACAGACCACCAGCTGATCAAAGGCTGGATGGTTTTATCCTGGCAGTAACCGTGGCAAACCCTCCTAACAGCAGAAAAACAACACCAGGCTCTGACAAAATGGTCCTAAATGTTCTATATTAATATATAGAACATGTTCCACCTTTCACCATTTGGCAGTTTAGATATTTCTATGTCTGCTTCTGTCTCCTTGAACTCCAGTCAGCCTCGGCAGATGGCCGCTCACACTGAGCCTGGTTCTCCTGGAGGTTTGTTCCTGTTCAAAGGTAGTTTTTCCTCTCCACTGTCGCTACAAGCATGCTTAGTGTGAGGAATTGCTGAAGAGTCAATGAGTCGATGCAATCAACTATATATTTATATAGAGTTTAGAATGTTTAGTATTAAAATCGGATGTTTGTTGCTCTGTGCTTGGCTGGTTGCTAGGAGTTGTAGAGACGGAGCCGACCCGCACGGCAGAGCAGTTGTGAGCGCGGTGCTCAGACTAAAACAGAAATGACGTCTATGAATGAAAGAAAGGCTGCCTGCCGGCGTCACCTATGAGCCTGGAGAGCTCGCAGAGGCCCCAGGGGACGTAGACAGGAAGCACGGAGCCGTGGCTCTCCTGCAGCGCTAGGTTGGACAGGTGGTCAGAGAAGCGGCACAGCTGCTGTGTCACCGCCGCATTGCACAGGTTCAGCATGATGTTGAGGCCCAGCGGCTTGAGGGAGGGCAGGTGGCACTGCCAGGAGAGATCGTCGAACTGGATGCTGGTCGGGTTCTGCTGGTCCTGAGACAGACTCAGCATCTCCAGGTGGTAGTCGCACACAAAGTCCTCTGCCTCTGCTTCTGGGCAGCCCACAGCAAAGTCCTGGAAAACAAAGACAGATGAGAACCTGTATGGCAGCTGGAACGCTCCCCTAAATGTTTACAGTCAGCAGAAGGTTTACATCTGACGGACCAGAACCTTCCAGCTCTACTGGTTCCCCCTGAAGGTCCAACTGGCAGCAGAAACATGTGCCGATACCTGCTCATTCTCGCCTCCCTCCGTGTCATGGCTGAAGCTCACGTTGGATCCAGAGTGGTGCTTGGTCCGACACTGAGCGGGCTGATGGGGCCGTCGGAGCTGGACCGCTTCAGGGGCGCAAGGCGGGTTGTGAGCCGCCTCACTGGGCTCGGATGCTCCGTCCTGCTGGGCAGCGGGCGTCTCCGATGGACAGAGGAGAGTCTCTGCTTCCTGAGGCTGTGGGAGAGACCAGATCATTGGTGGCCTGTCTCACCATGATTCACCATGAACCAAGCAGAACCAGGCAGGAACCAAGCAGAACCAGGCAGGGACAGAGCAGAACCAGGCAGGGACAGAGCAGAACCAGGCAGAAACAGAGCAGAACCAGGCAGGAACAGAGCAGAACCAGGCAGGAACAGAGCAGAACCAGGCAGGAACAGCGCAGAACCAGGCAGGAACAGCGCAGAACCAGGCAGGAACAGAGCAGAACCAGGCAGGAACAGCGCAGAACCAGGCAGGAACAGCGCAGAACCAGGCAGGAACAGCGCAGAACCAGGCAGGAACAGAGCAGGGCAGGGTTGTTAGAAATGAAAGCCTTCCTGATTAAGACGCCACAGACTGCTTCACCTCGTCCCTGTCGTCCTCCATCTCCAGGCGGCAGTAGGAGTTCATGGAGAGGTCATCTCGGAGGTCTTCCTGGCTGTTGTGAGGCGGTTCCACCCTCCCACTGAAGAACAGCACCGTCTCTGGACTCGGGTTTGGCCATGACAGAATCCCCTGCTTGTCCACGCAGCACAGCACCTGCAGAACACAGAGAGCCAAGGGTCACAGGTCGCCATGGAAACAGGCCCCAGGGATTATATTTTTGGTGGTTCCTCCTTAGAACACAGAGAGATAAGGGCGTCCCTAGGCCTCAGCAGCTCTCCAGGGAGGGTCCCCAGACCATGACACTTCCACCTCCATGCTTCAGCTGAACTGAAGCGGAGAGAAGGTTCCAGTTAGTGAAGGACATCACCGCAGATGTCCTGAATGGGTACCATGGTAACCGCAGCCAAGAGAGCACAGAAGCCCAGCGTTTAACAGAGGTGTGGGAGAGGAGCAGGAGGAGAGTAGGTTCAGATTAACGAGGTCGTCAGATTATGGACTGAACTGTGCCGTCTCGGGTCGGTCCCAGGTCAGCGTACAGGGCCCGTCCTGGGTCAGCATCCCGGGGCCGTCCCGGGTTCCTCTCTGATTTGGTATTAAATACTGACAGGGTCATGATAGTGGGAGATTTTAACATCCATGCTGACATTGAAGGTGATGGGTGATGGGTTAAGTGATGGGTTAAGAGCAGCCTTTAATGCTATCTATTGGCTTTGTTCAAAATGTGAATAGTCCCACACATTCTCATCTTCATACTTTGGATCTTGTGCTGACATATGGCATAGAATGTGAAGAAATAACACTATTTCCTCACAACCCTGTCCTCTCTGACCAGTTTTCAATAACTTTCAGGATTACTTTAACAGAGTTCTCCTCCCCTAAAAGAAGCTTTTAGCTGATCATTATCAGATAATGCAGTTATAAATTAAAAAGAATCTGTTTCACTTTCTCTCTCCTCTGTGTCGCTGAGCCGTGCTGCAAAAAGCTTAGTTTATTCCCCTTCACAGGTTGATGAATTTGTTGATGGGGTCGCTAGTTCTCTGCGTACTGCCTTAGACAACGCAGCTCCTTTGAAAATGAAAACCGTTAAAAATAGAAAGCTGGCTCCTTG